TGCAAATGCTGTCTTGAAGCAATGACAAGACCAGACTATCAGCCATTAGTAGATAATAAAAGAATAATAGAGAAATTTCAAGAAAAAATAACATTAACAAATATGGAACTAATTACTGCAAGGAAGCACAATAAGCAGATCATAAAAGATATTGAAGGTTTATATAGTAGTGATGTGTGTACTGTCATTTTATTGTCGATATTAATTAGAGTTTGAAGATGACAATTCTGAAGCTGAAGATGACAATTCTGAAGTTGAAGATGACGAGTCTGAAGTTGAAGATGACGAGTCTGAAGTTGAAGAGATTGAATATGATAGTCTAACTGATGAAGAGGATCAAATGTGTACAGTGAGTGAGACTGAGACAGTGAGTAGACTCACTGATTACTTTTAATTTATAGTTCTTATTACCGGTATATTGTAATCATCCTATTACTGGTGAATTAACTAGTAAATCATTTCAAGTACATAAAGATGAATTACTACCCACAGTACTGGATAAAGCTTATGAGGTTTGTTATTTTTAGTTGCTTTGTTTTATTCCTTCATTTCTTTTCTCCTCATTTCTTTATTAGTTAATGGAATTAGCTCCTCATATTCCCATTGAGAGATGTCGTTTAGTTAAATATAATTTTATTAATGATATAATGGAACAGCTCTCTGATCTTGATAAGGTACATTCTATCCTATTGTTATAATTATTTATTATTATATTCAGTTTCAGGATCAAACTATAGGAAAGCTTATGGGTGTGGCTGAATATTGTGGATTATTCCTAGAAACTTTTAAAGACAGTGAGACCTTTAAGAAATACAATGATGGAGGTGGGTGTGCTTGTATGATTACCATGACAATTAGAGGTGGTGATACCAGAATTTTTTGATTGATACCGATACTAAGTAGTCTGAGTGTTAGTATTGATGGTATCGAGTACTGAATAGTCAGCTAGTGCACATGCACAAATATGTTTAATAACAAAAATCAAGCAAATGAGCCGTCATTTTTGTAATTATAAAAAGGTTCAGCCATTGGGCGTGGTCACTAGCTCAATACATATATACCAGGATAGGTATTGAGTACTTCGTATTGGATGAATGAGTACTTTGATATCATCTTACTCACCTCTAATGACAATTCCTTTAATTACATGTACATGTGTTTGATGGTGTAGGTATTAATCTAGAGATATCAGTGGTTGATCTGTCAACTGGTGAAATAGGACCAGTTGAACCAATGAGAGGTGATGAAGGTTGGACTGTTGGAGAATTAAAGCAATATATAGGAGAAGTAAATATACTGTCATTTTATATTGATCATTCCTCTCCTACCATCTCTCAATTTGATCTTTAGTTATTTAATCTCAATTCATCATGTATGAGATTACTAATACTTGATGGATATCTCTCAGCCTGTGATGTTATACATTTAGAAGATGTTGAAAGTTCTTTAGAAGAAGTGCTCTTTAAAGGAGATGTATGCAGTTCACACAAACTGCATAGAGAGCAACTTGTAGCACCAACAGTAAGTGCTGATTGGGCAAAGCCCTTACTGGTGAAGTACTGTTTAACTGTATGTATGTATCTTGGGGTGTGGTCAGGGGCGAAGCCTCCACATTCTTCAAGTGCTAATCATTATTTGTGTACATTTACTAACACACTCTGTCTGTATGTCAACTGGGAACTGCAACAGTAGCTATCAATTATGCAATACATTAGAACAAGTCAGGACAATCATGCATGCCTGGTTTGATAGATTCAGTGCAACCATAATGATGTATATGCTTTTATGCTTTTATACTCTACATTCTCCTTATGGGTTTCCTTTGTCAGGTTAATTAGTTTGGCCAAACAAAAGGAACATGCTATACATTATTTTAACATTTTCCTCATCCTTACTGTATTTGTTCATACACATACATGCTCTCTCCTTTCTTAGATATATGTATCATCAGATCCTATAGATTTTCTAGAGGAATACAAAGATAGTTTGATGTACAGATATGTTGATTTTCACTTCAACTCAATACTATTGGACATTACACTACCTCCTCCTCTATCTGAAGCCACTCTCACTACAACTAATGTACCTGAAGGAGGAATGATAATGAAAATTATATCAATAAATGAAGAAAATAAAAGAAATAATAATTATTATAAAGAACATTAAGTATTATATTATTCAATACAGAGATACAAGTACAAGTTGATAAGAGAATAACATTAGCTCAATTGAAGGAGGAGCTAATTCCACTGATTGGTGTACCACCTACTGGTTTTATAGTGTATAGAATCAGAAATAATAAAGAATATGAAATAGAGAGACTGGATAAGACATTGATAGATATCACATCTGGGTCAAAAGTATTTTTGTGTTATTTCATTCACTTCTCCTTTCTCTTATATCAACTCTAAGTACTAATAACTCATAAATCTATTTATTAGTTTGTTTATTTCCTAGTTCACAGTAAGACTGGGTAGAGCATTAGGAAGAGGAGAGTACAGAATTAAATTATATTTATTACAAGTTAACAGTACAGAAGTAAGAATATTAATTATTATAATTTTAGATTTTATTTTATGTTTTAGTTTTGTAAGTATATGATGGAGTCTATTGTTGCTGAGGGTACACCAGTGAAAGAATTTAAGAAGCAAATTATTGAAGAAGCAAAAGTACAAGGAATTGACTGTGTCCTTGAATTAGACAAGTAAGTACATCATGTGACTATCATATGACTCATTGTGTAGAATGAGATTACGTTACAAGAGAGAAGTGTACACTAGTATGGTACATCTTGATCATCAGGTGATTGGTGTTAGTAGGGATATATATGTGGAACCATTGAAAGGTTATAATCTCAATATTTTCATTTTAAACTGTATAGCAGGATTTATTTTTGGTGAAATTGACTGAATTGGTGGCTTGTAGATTACCGTATAGCTCCAAATTTTTGTCAGTCAAAATTTTTGTCAAATTTGTCAGGTACTTTTGCTTGGCAAAATTTTTGTTCCACGTGGGTAGTATGCAGATTAATAAGAAAAATGACGAAAATTTTATTGACGAAAATTCATTTTAACAATAAATTTAAATTTTGACGAAATTTTTGACTGACGGAAATTTAGAGCTATATGGTAAATTTTGGTGCCTATATTATTTCTTACCACATGGCAGCTAATAATTGGCAATTTTAATTTGGTGTTTTCCTGGAATTTGCCAACTCACCAAGTTTAGTCCCTCACCAATAAATCCTGCTATATGATATTTTCAGTATACTGTACTTCATTTGATTATAGTAAGGTTATTGTATTAATTTTCATTAGGACCAGAGAAGATAAAGCATCAAAAACAGATACAGGTGTATGTTATAAGATGGCATCCATCACAATGTTCAGTTGATCCAATAGAAGAAATTATACTGGATAATAATAATGGTCTTAAGCATGTTATTGAAAAGGTAATCATAATTTTATCATTGCACTGCATGGGACAGTCCACAGTTTATAGGTTTATCTTAACATTAATGTAGAGTAAGACTATGAATAAATAAGTATGTATATCATTATCATTATTATTATTGTTTTTTACAGCTGTCAGAGTTAAGTGGAGTACCTGCTGAGTATATCTATTGTGCAAAGGTATTACATTGATATTAAAACATAATAAAGATGCTCTCTCTCTCTCTCTTTAACTCTTAGAGTCAATCATTTCCAGTTGAGATGTCATATCTTGATATTGAGAATGAGTTGAAATGGTGTTCCATCACTTCAGACAGTTCCTCATTAAGACTATATAATGATGGATATGTCATATATTACAAGTACTAATCAACACACACACATTATGTATACACACACACTTACATACACCTCTTACTGTTCATAATTATTTAGAGACAATAGAGAGACAATGAAAGAGTTAACAGATAAAGAGAGATCAGAAATACAAGATGCAGAGGAAGCAAGGTACTATCAATTAATGGTCCAAAATAAATACATTAGTATTATAGAAATTCATTTTTTGACATTTATTATATTACTGTAGGTTAAAGAAAATTAGGGAATGCATGTATCAACCATTGGCATTGATTGGATTAATTTAATTTTAAAGTATTTTATCATTTTTTAATTTAAAAAAATTTCCAATTCTGTTTCAATCTTGTGTAGTGTGTTTAATGGCTCCATTCCACTTTTTTATTACTGAGAATTTTATAATGCAATAGACTTTACACAACAGTGGCAATGACTATGCTATATGCACTGAAGGTCCCCAAGCAACATGTGCTTGGACCATAAAATCAAGTTTGTGCAGCAATTAGTGTTGAATGTTGTCACAATAAAAAAAGCCAAGTTTTTATCTCAAAGCATAAAATTTGACAGAGGCAGACTAAGGAATATTGCATTCATGATAGTCAGAAGAGATTCAGAGTGTGAACCATTGTCCTCTGATGAGAATATCACCTGCTACAGCTGCTAGAGTGTATGTCTACACTCTACACTACATTCTCTGTTGATCAATCAAGGAAGGGGCTAGCGCTGGCTACATAAGACTAGACTTAACAGGATCCTCACAGGAGTCTGATTTGCAACTGCCTGACCACTGCAACCAGTAACATCAGAGCCACTCACAAAGCAACTAATCAATAACACACTGTAGTATTATAGTACATGCAAGCAAAAAAATTATAATCATTTTTGCACATTAAGTTAAAAATGAATGGAGTATGGTATCTACACATAAACAAAGTTACACTTCTTCCATATCAGTAATATCCTCCTCTTCCCCCTCTCCTTCACTGCTTGATGATGATGAATATTGTAAATCATGACTCAATATGTCCATACCACCACTAGTGACTGGTAACAAACTACTGGCTATCAATCCTTCTCCTTTCCTCCCTTTCTCTATATCCTCTTCATCTGTGCCTTCAACATCTATAGTCCCAATCTATACAGTCATTGGACAATCAACAACTATCATACTGTATATATAGCAGGAAATTTTGGAGGGACTAAAATTTTAATTGTTGTAAATTCAGTGCTAAACTTTGGTGATTGGTGAATTTTAATTTGGCAAATTTGTGGCTATGTGCCATTGAGCAGCACATAATGGCTCAAAATGGTGGATTCTTATTTTGACAACTGGTTATGGAATGCCAAATTCGCCAATTTTAACTCGCTCCAAAATTTCCTGCTATACGATAATCTGTTTGTTTCCATACCTGAATACTGTCTTCACTAGTAATAATGACACTGGATTGTCCAGTGATATTCATGTTAGTACTAGTATCTTCTTCCTCTGCCTCCTCATCTCCACTCTCTCCTCCTAGTCCTTCTGGTTCATTTAGTGGTGACTTGTCAAAAGGTCCTAACTGGCTTTCATATTGTTCAAAATGTTCTCTTTCCTAGGATTATGGTAATAATAGTAACTTATTGCATTCATATATGTATATACTGCACCAGAATGTAAAACATCAAAAGGGTAAGAGCAAAGCATTGACTTTCTTATTGATAAAAAATTCATGACAAATCTCATAATTCAAATCAATCAAATTCATAATGACATTACAAATTGAAAATAATTTTGGAAACATACAAATCACAACTACACATACATGTACATGTAGTTAGGCTGTAACTATTTGAATAATTTTCCACAGTAAATTTAATCCTTAACCAAAACAATACTACTTTTATTCTCTTCCTTCACCT